GTACAAAATTTTTAAATATGCTGATTGTTGATTGATTGTCGCACCATACTTTCATGAGAGTAGTAACTAAGAATTTTATTTCCATTAGAATCCTTTTTAACCAAATCCCCTCACATATTCCATGAGCAAGTGACCGAAGTTTAGCTTCTGCACTACTTCGTGATACAACAGATTGTTTCTTACTCCGCCAAGTGACTAAATTTCCCCAAACATAAGTACAGTACCTAGATGTGGATCTTCTGTCAGTTACAGAACCGCCCAATCTGCATCTGTGTAGATTTCAATATTCTTGTTCATTGTTTTCTGAAAAAATAGTCCTTATCCTAGAGTTATTTTAAGGTATCTTAGAATCCGATATACTATATTCATATAATCATCAGTAGGTTGATTCATGAATTGACTTGCAATACTAACAGTAAAACTGATGTCAGATTTAATATGAACGAGATAAATAAGTTTGCCTACAAGTTTCTGATATCTTTCTTTATCAACTGGCTTGCCATTGGTTTTAAAACCAACTTTTGTAGTCGTTTCCATGGTGTTTCTGCTGATTTACACCCAAGCATCCCTATTTCTTTCAGTAGGTCAAGAACATATTTCTGTTGTGACACATATATTCCCTTTTTAGAATGAGCAAATTTTATTCCTAAAAAATACCTGAGTGTTCCAAGATCTTTATCTCAAACTCCGTGGCAAGAAAAATTTAGAGTTTCTGAATTTTCTATATGTTATCACTTGTTAAAATAATATCGTCAACATAAACAATTAAGATCGCTTTCTTACCTGAGGCATTGTTCTTGACAAAAAAAGTATGATCAGACTGATACTGCTCATAATCTATATGTTTGACTGCTTTGGTGAATCCGTCAAATCAAGCTCTCGGAGATTGTTTTAGACCATAGAGTATCTTTCTGAGTTTGCACACCTTGTAAGATTCATATATGGTCTCAAGGTCCGAAGGGGCTTCTATATATACTTCTTCTAAATCACTATTGAGAAATGCATTCTTTACATCAAGTTGACAAAGAGGTCAATCAAGATTAGAAGCAAGAGAGAGTAATACCCGAATAGTGTTGTGCTTAGCCACGAATGTCTCCTGATATTCTATTCCGTAGGACTGAGTGAAGCCTTCAGCCACTAGACGAGCTTTGTACCGATTCACACTTCCATTAGGATTGTGTTTTGTAGTGAATATCCATTTGCACCCCACATTATGTTTTTTAGATAGAAGTTCTGTCAGTTCCCAATTCTTGTTCTTTTCTAGAGCTCTGATCTCTTCTTGAATAGCACCTCTCCACTCTGGTAGTGCAAGGGCTTCATGAATTGTTTTAGGTTCAGTGGAGCTGCCATCAAGCTTACTTACAAATACATGATACTTTGAAGACAAGTTGCTGAATGAAACATAATCCTGTATAGGATGTCTAGTACAAGATCGAGTTCCTTTCCGCAAGGCAATAGGTAACTCAGTATCATGGTTCTGTAATAGTAACAATATCAGAAATTGTGCCTGAAAACTCATTACCTGATGTGTCCTTACTGCTCGGAACTGGAAT